CCTATAGCTGTCCTTTGCTATAGGCCGAACAGAAATAAGGAAAAGATGGCTGAAGCCAAAGGAAAATTAAAAAAGAGGAGTGACAAAAATATAGGACCAGCAAGATGTCTTGGTATTTGGAAATACCAAGGGTTTATTATCACTCCAACGTTACAAATTAGGGGAAGGGAGTGGAAGCAAATGGTCCAGGAGGGCCTGGCGTGGTAGCCTAATGGCTAAAGCCCTCGCCTTGCCTGTTCTGGGATCCCATATGGGCATCAGTTCATTTCCCAGCCATTCTGTTTCCCATTCAGCTTCCTGCTTGTGCCCTGGGAAAACAGTAGAGGATGGCCCAAAGCCTTGAGATCCTGCACCCACATGAGAGAACCGGAAGAAGCCCCTGGCTTCACATCAGTTCTGGCCATTGTGCCCAATTGGGGGAGTGAATCAGCAGAAGGAAGATCTTTCTGTCTCTCCTTCTCTCTGTATATCTGACTTACCAATAAAAATAAATAAATCTTTAAAAAAGAAAAAAAAATAATTCAGGGAATCTTGCCAGGGAACAGATACCGAAAGAGCTGGGGCTCCAAAAGCCCATCCTGAGCCACAATCTAGCGACATCAGCAACCAACCGGGAGCAGCCAGTTCCCAGCAAAGCCAACAGCCAACACTGCTCGAGGATGAGGCCCAGGAATTGGGTTTCCCTGGTGTTCACCCAAATGCGAGGACGGAAAAAACAGCTCTAGAAGCAGCTCTAGAATGCCTCCATCACAACCTACAAACAGGGCAGAGAGTCATCCTGCAGACACGTGGATGTAATAGCGTTCACACTGAACACCTCTGATATTCAGATTTTTTTCTGGGGAGAAGAGTACAGATTTGTACCTAACAAATTCTCACTAAAGAATGTTCTCTCCCTTTCTAACTGGCTCCAAGACTCCTAGTCTATCACTCAACCCGCCTTAATAACTAAGAATCTAATTAATGCTTCCACTGCTTACAGGATACACTTGGGTTATGAGACCTGCTGCTAAGTTGCCCCCACCATTCCCCTTGTCATTCATCATCCATCATTGCAGACTTCCAAATACAGAGATATCACAACTCCTATCTTAAAGTCACCGTCTGTTGGAGCTAATTAGAGGGAACTGACACACAGCACACATCATGACGGCTCCCAGCAGTTAACAGAACAGTGGTGCCTGTCTGCTCCACATTCCCCCACTTGGCTTGACCCATGCAGTTCAGGAGGACGCCTGGTGTGCTGGATGGCAAGGAGAACTGGAGGGATCGTCGTTTACAGTAAAATAGTGTGTGGTTAGAGAACTCTCCTTGTGCTATGTAGGGTGGTGGCAAAACAGAAATTTCCACTTGAAAATATTTATCTCATAAAACTAAAGGTAGTCAGTTTCCACCTTGCCGTCTGGTCAGGATTTTGGAAAGGGAAGCCAATGAGTTCAGACAAGACCCTGACTTGCCATCCATAACTTCACTTTAGTGACTGTGCTTTGGTTTAAGTTGTACAGTGATAAAATAATCTATCAGTATAAAGTACAACTGGAAATGCCTTTCATTTCTTTGGTTCTCTAGTTGATTGCTTTGCTTTGTTTCCTTTTACCAATTTAGCTTGAGAACTTGTTTGCATGGCTTTGGAGAAGGATGGTTATAATAAAACACAGAACATGCGACAGTAAGCAAAGGGTTGACTTTGAGTTCTAAAAACCAATGATTTGCAGTCCATACTGGATTCTAAGTTTCAAAAGGCAGAGTCCTGAAGGATTAAAAACAAAGAGTATGGCGTATGCAATGAATTAGGAGGGAATGGCTTGAGCCACGTTAACCTTCTTCCCTGGCCTGTAGAAAGGAAAATTGGAGACGGGAGCTAAAAGTGAAGTGGCTGAGGGCACATGGCAATGAATGCTGGTGTGAACGCCTCCGAAGGGGGCTAGGCTCAAGATGGCTCAGTGGAGAGCGAGACAGATGCCAACGTGACAGAACAGAGACTCCTGGCAGGCAATGTTTATGTGCCTACATTTCCAAAGGGCTTTGTAACTCACTGCTACTTCGATGGACCAACGGCATGGGTAGAGACAGACTGAATCACTACAAAATGCTGGAGTAGTGATCTGAAAGCCAAAGTGACGGTCAAGGTAATGATTAAGAATAGTGATGATTTTGATAGTGATTTTGAGGCTCAGGTTACACTTCTCATAAGACAGAATGTTAGGAAAGACTGCACAAACTCTTGCTCTAGAATCAAGCACAGTTTGTCTCACTTTTCCTAATGTATCGGGTGTAATATGTGACAATTGACATACACTGTGATACGCTGTCAAACAGTTTATCTTTTTGTACTTAAATTTCTTTAAATGTAACTCTACTGATGTAACTCTTTAAAAAATACAAACTTTCACATCCATGTGAATTAAAAACAAAGCCATGATATTAACAGGACATTTAGTAAGATTGCATGCTACCCTAAACATGACTGAAGCTGTTTTGACTGTTACCATGGGGGAGCCTCATGTCTAGGAATGCGATCAACTTTTGCAGCCTCAAGATTTGCAGTCAATAATCTATGACTCCATAAAGTATTGAAAGTTTTTCCAAGAGCCAAGGAGATTACACAGGCAATACTCCGATCTTTCTAATTTGGGGACTCCCCTATCAGCTGATATACTACCATCTGTCTAAATTCCAACAGAAAACTCATCCAAGTTGCTGCTCTGTGACGCCTTAGCTACTCTGTGGAGTTGCGTTTCTTGGCCTTTCTGTGATGATACAAACATTTAACACTTAATAATGTGGAATTTAATAACTTAAATAATGTGGAACTGGAGTTGGCACAATGGTTCATAGGCTTAACCCTTCTTGTGCTAGCATCCCATTTGGTGCCAGTTCATGTCCCAGCTGCTTTAGTTTACTTCCAGTCTGGCTCTCTGCTTGTGGCATGGGAAGGCAGAGGAGGATGGCTCAGGACCTTGGGCTCCTGCACTCATGTGGGAGACCCAGGACCACCTCCTGGCTCCTGGCTCCAGCTCAGCTCAGCTCTGGTCACTGTGTCCATTTGGAGAGTGAATCAGCAGATGGAAGACCTGTTTGCTCTGTGAATTGCTCCTTCTCTCTAAATCTGCCTTTCAAATGAAAATAAATGAACTTTTAAGAAAAATAAGTAAAATGCAGCTGCCAAAGAATAGGTTGCATCAGAGTGGATGAAAAGACAAAGGTTCGGCTTAGAAGGAGACACACCTAAGGGTCATGAGGCAATCTACTCCACGCCAGCCACTCAACAGGATGCCAAAGGTGGAAAAGACCATGCAGGGCAGTCATCAATCACCTTGTGCTTCCAGCACACTTGACTGTTCCCTGTCACAGAGACAAATTATCCACATGTCAAACTAATTTCCACAGTTTCCACATGAAAGCTTCGTGTCACCTGGGTCTGGTCAATATTGAATTAATTCTCCTCCACTCCATCCACATGGTAAGATAGAATTTCTGGGAATATTCTATTTTGCTGCAACATGGTCTGATAATAGGATTAACCTGATATCGTAGTTAATTGTTAGAGGTCCAATATATGTACCCTACTGATTTGTCTGTGTTTTTTTTCCCATTCTCTGTCCATACCTTTAATCTAGTCTATCCCAGAAAACTCCTTGAGAGAAGCAATCCCACTGGAGCTTCCTAACACCCTCCATGGTGTTCTCTATATCAAGATGTCTGCACATTCTACCTGAACAACAACTGCTGGTTGGCTGGCTGAATCTATAACACCTGGAGCACCAATAGTAAACGAATTATACAGCAGACCACCTAAATGCAGGACCACCACCAGGGCTGGAAAAGGCCTGTGCCTTTGCTGATCACAAAGAGGACTCAACAGGATCCTGTGAACTCTCAGGCTCTCCATTTGCACACAGTACAGGAGCTGGGGGCACTGAGTCATCAAAGTCCAAACAAAGCAACGGATGATCACACTACGCCCTGTGGAAATCCTTGCATGCTCATCCTACGCTCTCCAGTTCAACACCCACTCAATGCACGTTTTCTTCTTGGACTCTGCCCAGCAATCCATGTCTACACACTCGGCTCAAACATCCCTGCTCAGGACATGCCCGCCACATTTCCATGTTTTTACATTCTCCTATGTACATTAGTTCTTTTGGCCAGAAGCCCTGTGTCAAGTTAGCCTGCCACCCCCAGATTTCCTGTTTAGATGTCTGCCCGACACAGCTGACGCTTCCTGCTCTGGACATCAACTCGTCATCCTTTCATCAAGGACACTTTAGAGACTACAGACTTCAATATGAGAGCAACGGCTCAGTTATATGCTTTTGTAATTCCTCAGAACACTGCCTTATGGTTTACCTTGGATGCAAGTATGGAAGCAGTATTTGAATCTGCTATCCACCATCAGACTACCAGTGTGAAGCACGATGCTAACCAGAAATAGGGGCCTCAAGAAAAGGTATTTGAATGGATAAACCAATGTGTAAATGATCCTTTGTGACTATTACATGTTTTGATTTTGAATACTCGTGCAAGCTCACAAATGAGAAGCATCAATTATTTTGAAGCATGCTTTAAATAACAGGTGATCTGTTAAACATTATGCAAAACATCAGGAGTTCTTCATTATCATAAACCCATACCAACAGTCCAATCTGGTGTAGATAAACATTTTGTCAGAGACATATTTCTGTTCAGAAATAACTTTGTATGTCTGGATGGCAACATGAACTAATGTTTACCAATAAGAGCATTCAAAGCAACAAGACCCCTTGTGACCTCCAAGAATTCATGAAAGTGTCAATTACTGCTAGATGTACAGACAGAAAAAAACATATTCTTCTCTGTACTTCTCTTCTACAAGACTAAAGCTCCAGTTGCATTTTCTCAACAATCTAGTAGAATTCAATTTGCTTCTTCAATTTGTCTCCAGCCAAGCCTCCTTCTGTCAGCCATGCAGACATGTCAATATTGGCTACACAACAGGAGGACAATGAGAATGTAATTACCTGTGCATTTACGATCTGTGTCTTCCTTTTTCGACCCACTAATTGTCAACTTGCAGTTAAAGTTCTCTTCCCAGTACTCGGCAAACCACACATTTCTTCTGTTGTTCTCGAGTGTGCGGGATGTGAAGTAGGCATCGAATCCTAAATAGAGGTGAATGAAGAGGTCAGCGACTGGGAAAGACTTCCTAAGCTGAAAATTTCATTGATGAACTTCCAGCATGTCCGTATACTGGATGTTTCTTTGTGTTAATCTAGATAGATAGATAGATAGATGAATAAAAGACAATTAAAATTCTTTTGCTGTATTGCAGACCTATGGCCCAATGTCGAGTTCAGTCTCTCAGGCAGATGTGTATTCTATAAAAGCCTCTGCATTTCCAATGAAATCTGCATGGCATATGAAGATGGACACAAGAATCACAGCACACTGTGCATCTACAGCAGGGTAGACCTGGGACAGTGGCTTCATCATCTTCAGCATCACGGTAACTGCCAGCAGGGGAAGGCATCTGGCCTGGCATGTGGGATGTTGGTTGAGGTGTCTGCCTTGCATCTCAGAGTGTTTGGGTTTGTGTCTGCCTTAATTCCAGCATCCTGCTCACACAAGCTCTGGCAGACACCACATGATCTTTTAAGTAGGTGGATTCCCATCAACTATTCAGAAACATGGACTGTGAGTTCCAGGCTCTCAGTTCCAGTCCTCTGGTTATCAGGGACATTTGGGAAGCAAATCAGTGCATGGGGACACCCTTGCTCTTGGTGTATCATAAACATGTAGTAAAAAGAGAGCCACAGGCATCTCTTGGGTGACTCTGAGTCACAGAACCTGCTGCTGCACATACTTTCATCCTAACATCTTATATGAACCTTATTATCATCATTCTCTCTTTGCAGACGAGAAAGCAGAGGCTTGGAAGAACTAATGTGTCAAACATCAATCATCGTGTCACAGTTGGCATTTCTAACCATTTCAGCTACTGGTCTTTGCAAATCTTTTTGAAAAACTGTTTCACTAGCAAGGTCTCATACTGTAATGGGCTTTCTGGATAAAAGGGATGATTCTTAACAAGGCCACAAATAAATTGTTCCAATATGTACAGATGGCCAGAGACCAATGTTCCAGGTCTCTCTAGTAACCTAGCTGACTCTCTTATATAATCTAACTTAAAATATCCTGGAGGAACCATGAGGTTTTGTGACAGACTGCAAATAAAACTATCCTTCAGCATCAAAGAGTGAAGTTCAGATCCCAGCCCCAATAACCTCACTAAGTCCCAGAACTGAGTCAACAACTCGCCTTTCCAAGCTTCCCTTAGCCCAACCAGAACGATGCAGACCACAGCATCCTGGCGGGGGCCCTGGGAAGATGCCAGAGACTCAAGAAGGTAAAAGGCATGATTTGTGGAATGAGATGCACTTACTTCCATCTTATTTAAGTTCTTCAAAATGTTCTCTTAAACATTAAGCCATACAAATCACAATGAGGTTCATCATTATGAAATACTAAGTGCTCTACATTGCCTCATGATAAGACAGTATTGCTCACAGCCAAACCTTCGAAGGAGAAACCAAGACTCCAAGATGGATTCAGATCTGAGTCAGCCTCCTAGAATGCTCAATTCTGGGTCACAGGCTGAAGAACTACAGAGAACCTCACATTCTGGTGAAACATAGACCCTAGAAAGTGCTTGGTCTTTGACTTTTCAAGTTGCACTGGAAACCCCATGGCTTCCAAAGGGTAAGAACGTCCCTGGAGACGTCTGAGGCTGCTCACCATGCTACCACTTCTCTTCCCTGCAGATGCCCCATCACCAACTGCTGTACCAGCTTTTACAAGTCAGCAGGATGCTTGAATAGTAAGAGGAAAGCAACTATAAGCTCAGGTGCTCCAGTGGATGGGTCCTACAGGGCCATTCCCGAGGTACAGAGGTGGGTGGGTCCTGTGGGGCCATCCCCAAGGAACAGACATGGGTGGGCCCCACAGGGCCATCCCCGGGGTGCAGATATTAAGTACCATGCACAATACCACCATCCCCTACTGGAGTGCCAGTTTGGTTCCTTGCTGTTTTGTCTGATTAAGCTTCATGGTAACGTACCTGAAGAAGCAGTGAATAATATTGCTACAAACCACGTGGAAAACCAGGCTTTCTCTGTTGCCTGATTTCTGCCTGTCCCAGACGTAGCTTTTGTAGCCTTTTATGGAGTGAATCAGTACTTGGAAGACAATTTCTGTTTACGTCTCTTTATCAAAGCTGTAGTACGAAGTTTTCACTCATAAATAAAACATTCATGAGACACACAAACCTTCAGCAAGTGCCTTACGGAAACCAAGCTTTGATCATCCCTTGGCCCCTGTGTGGCAGTCCTCCGAGTCAAACCGACTCCAGAACCCTTTGTATATCGAGTAAGGAATATGCTGTGTGGTGGTTCAGAGCGTTCCCAAGCCATCAGCCTGGGCCTGTCACCACCACACACACAGGCTTCCCAGGGCTAATATAGAATGGGCTGTCCATTGTATCACATGATATCAACACCAGTGTGGACTGAGCATCAGGCAGGAGTGGAAAGAATTAGAATAGATCCAACAATCCACATGTGTATCGGTGTGCATGCACAACAGTGAATCACAAAGTTTTCCTTGATCCTATTAAGGCTCAGAACAGCAGGCTGGACATGCATCTCATCATTAGTAAATTAGCTAGAGTCCAGGCTTTCGTTTCCAAGCATTAGACCCGAATCAGTCATATCGAAGGAGAAAGTCCATTCTTCAAAGCATGGAGCAGATAGGATTCTTAATATGGAACTGCTTTGTTGGAGAGCCACATCTCATGACTAAAATTAATGAATTGGTGATTTTGAGGCCAGCACTCCCCTAAACAGACATTGAATGGCCTTGCTGTAGTCTTAGAAGTAAATAGAAAATAACCCTGGAGAATAATACCAACTGGGTATTAGTAGTTATCACTGTATTTACCTGGTTCTTCTTCTTCTTTTTTTTTTTTAATTGGGGTGCTACCCTCAAATACTCCTTGAATTTCACGGCTGAGACATGAGAGGGCAAATGAATAGACACACCATTCATCCCAGATTGCACATGTGGGAGGTAACCTTTCCAGCTGAAAGGTGAAAATTGCTCTCACCTTAGCATGGCATGAAAAAAATTACCAGAATATCAAAACAGGGTTAGAGGTTACACCTGCCCACTCGGCCTGGATAGAAGGGAACTGACAGATGCTAGCGAACTCCAGGCAGCCTCAGCAAGGGACCAGTCACCCTGGACTCTGCTTTCCCAGCTAGATGAGAACCATCTGATCAAGCTAAGGATTTGGATGTACTCCCACAGTCTGTATAAGGAAGGCTCTTGGCATTCACTGCCCATTTCCAGTTGAGAAGAATGGACTAAGGACTCAGAAACACATAGCTTCATGACACCCAGTGAACAGATGAAGGGAGCCACAGACAACAAGTAAAAAGGAAGAAGGAAAAGCAGTTGAAGGAGAGGTCAGGGCAGGGGAAGAAGCAGGGAACTCGCATCCTCTTTCATTGGACAGAAAATCAATATCCCTATTCTAGAGACCAGGTTGGGTTATCAGTGACCAAGACTGATATGCAAACTGTGAAGGCTCATTTTATTCTGAATCCATGGACTTTAAAAGACAAAATTCTACACATAGGAAGCAGGATACACGTCTAAGAATTGATTACAAGGCAAGGCTCGCAACGGTTGGAGTTTGTAACAATGTGAATGCCTACAGATGCTGAATGAAAGACCTGTGGCACATCTCACAGCACAGCAAGTGATTCCCTGTGAAGGGGAGCAGGGTGTCAGGGCATCACCTCTGGTGCCCGTGCCTCATGAGGAAAGGCCATTTGCTCTGGCAGCTCAGTCTCTGCCCACCACAGCCCCTTGCTCCATTTGTGAGCTGTAGATCATTATCCTGGGTAGAGACTGTGCCTCCAGCACTGGGAGATGCATCTCTCCTATTTTACAAGCCTATAATGACATGATTAGTGTACAAGCTCCACTGACCCAAGAAACCGCCCTCCCCCCCCACCCTGGGCTTTTGGGATTGTGTCCTTGATAATGATACTAAAACAGGGGTATTGGCAAGAAAACAGGATGTTTTTCTGTCACAGAGAAACCATCCATCCCTATGTAAATGAATAATAATGACTTACATACGCTAGAGAAACTAATCTAAAACATAAGACCTTTTCAAGAACTAAAGTTATCTTTTCTTTTAATGAAAACACCATTGATCTTTCAGAAGGGTTTTAGGTTTTTCTTTGGTCACTTCTCTTCCATACAATTTGTAAATTGGTATTTTCTTCCAATAGAGCTAAACGAGTTCCTTTTATAGTTCAAATGACGAGATAAGTAAGAATCAGGGCTATTGAGAGAGAAGAAGAGTGCTTGGAGTATTGGGGAAGGGAACAAAGAAGAATGGGCATGGTTATCAGAGCGGGCCAGATCCCCTGTCTCTGCCCCATGAATGGGGATAAAGAAAAACTCTAGAAGCACACAGGAATGTGTCAGAGGAGAGGAAAAATTTGCAGGAGCCAATGCCACCTTCATCACTGAATAAACATCACTTGACTAGGTCAGGGAAAATGATCATCTAGCAGAGCGAGAGCAGATTCTGCAGGATTTTGAGAAATGGGAATCCTATATTCTGGACTCCAGGGCCACACAGTGGGTTGCCGTGACAAGCTCAGGCTGCACTTGCCTGGAGCCAGCCCGCTGTCTCTGACATTAAGGCTTGAGTTCCTAGAAGCCCATGATTGATCCCTGCTCATCTTTGGCTTTTAGATTCAAGTTGCTGTCAATGCGACCAAGGGGATCAGAATTGCAGATGTACAAATCAATTTGGCAAGATGGTCACTGCATCTGAGAAGGCTGAATGCAGGTTCAGAGACACAGTCACAAACTCTGGCTGCGTCTACTGATGAACGTGTAGGAAACCACCATTTCTTGGGAAAATCAGCAAGAATTATTGCAGTGATTAGTCCACAAAGAAAAGAAATCCGCTGGGAAGTGTTTATGAACAAGACAAGTGGAATAAAGTCTGCAATGTTATTGCACAAAACACCTCCGATGGGCTACTGCATTGTACACCATGACATAACGGCCACCATCTCTC